GAAAAACAGAACGACACCCCTCTCACCCTCTCTTCGCTTTCTTCCTTTTTGGGGGTCCAAGGGCTAAGGGCAGCCCAAAAAATGCTTCGCTTTGCAACCATCTTCCTTCCAACACTGAACTTCATTCCTGGACCTTCAAGGGGTGTCCTGCCTGGAGGTCCCTCTTAGTGGTGTAATTAATGGCTTCCAGCCAGGGCACCCGTGGTCTTCCAGCAGATGGGGTGAACTCGGCGGGACCAAGTGAGTTCCACATCCTCACTCGACCGACCGACCGTTTCTCGTCTCCTTAAATTTCGTCGAGATCACCACGTGGGGCCGGGTCCCGGCCGGGACGGGCGTGGTGGCGCCACCCGCATAGCCAGATCTGGACGACATGGAGGGCAGCTGAGCTGCGGCGTCCGGGGATCCAGAGCCGAGAGGAAGGCGAAGCATCTGAGAAGCCGCGCCCCGAGAACTCCAAGGAATTCTACTGACATCGAGCATCTGGAAACTCTTCCAAGAAATCGGGAAAAAAAGCATCTTAAAACTTCCACACCATCTTGAAACGTTGAAAACTCACTTCTTCCCAAAGGAATCGGACCAAAACTCCTCCCAAAACCTCCAAAACATCCTTCACCTCTTCCAACCTCCCGGCCGCCGGCCGTCCCCCGGAGCGCCGCCTCCGTCGCCGGGACCTCACCGGTCTCGGAGGCGGAGCTGGCGGAGGCGCCGGGACCTCGGTGCGGCGGCCGCAGAAGGAGCTTCGGGAAGGAGGTGGCCAAGGGGTCCACACTCGGTTCTCACGGTGTTCGGGTGTGGTTCTGAATTTGGAGTGTTCTGATGTGTTCTGTATCAACAAGTTATATGGAGTTTTTTGTGATGAATTTCGGGGTTCGGCTCGTTCTTCTTCAACTTTCGGGTTGTTGTTCTGAATGTTTCGGCTTTTGGATCGGGTGTCATCCCGCTTCGTGTTGTCAAATGAGATGACAGACAAGAGATCAAAGAGGTCTCACCGTCGAAGACTCATCCCATCTGCTCTACCTGCCAGCCGCTCACAGCCCAACTTTCCGCTTCCCTCTCCGCCCGCCCGCACAGCGCCAACCCCGCGACCAAAGCCCCCGTATCCCCCACAAAAAGGCACCCCTTTGGAAGTCCAGGAAAGACCAGTTTTTGACATGGGACTGATCTGGTGACCCGGTTCGTGTCAAACACTTATGAGTGAAACAGCGTCGGTGGTTCGGGATGACCCGGCGATTAAAACAAGGGTGGGCCAGGACTTCTAGGGAGTTTTTTCTGAGTTCAGAAGAATCTCTTCAACACATCTTCAACTTGCCATGAGTCCATGAGCCATGCCAGAACATGCCGCGCCATGCCCATGACATACCCAATGAATGGGTGGTTTCTGGGCTTCGATCCTTTTTCTTCTCCGGGCCGGCGACGAAGCGCACGAAGAAAACCTTCGTGAAAGGACAGACTTCTGTACACGTCCCGGACCAGAGGTGGGTCAGGACCTGACTGTTCGACTACCCCAGGTGTTCCGGGTCCTAGTCGTTGGGTCACTGGCTACCTCTCTTGGTCGCGATCACCACGTTGAAGAGCTTCCTCCCTCCCTCACACCTTTGGCCGCCAAACCCGCTGTCCTTCCGGCGCGGGCGGCGGGCGTCCACGAGCGCGCGGTGAAGGCGTTGGACCAGTCTGGGTGGGGTTCCACTGGAACACCATCTGTGATCTAGACGCCAATTTATAGAAGACCATCGTAAAGGAGTGGTGCATCAAGCCCTGTGATTTTCATACCTAGCTTTCGGATGCTTTCGGTATTCTCCGTACTCTAAAGAGAGTGTTGTTAGGATGCGAAGTGCGCAGTGCTGTGAACCAGTTGCGTGTGTGGACGGCCACTCAGTCCTGAGCCTTGGCCTTTGGCTGGTGCTTGGTAGTACGACTTCTTCTCCATCGAGCCAGTCGAACCTGCTCCTTTGGGCTCGTTCCTCCTTTCTTTGTCTCCTTCTCTGTCACCTGTGTTTGTGTCAGCTGTTCTCTTCCTCTCCACGTCCTCTCTGCTCCCTTCATTCTCCTCCAGAGTGCTTCTGACTCCATGTTTGCCTCGACGGCCGCGCACCGCCCTCGGCACCTCTGCCACCGGCTCTGTCACCGTGCTGCTCGCCGCGGCGCCGGCGGCCGACGCGGCTGAGCGCGGCGCGCGGGGACTGCAGAGCTTTGAAGGAGGACCTGGGCTGGGCTGAAACACCTGCAGAGGAAGCTTCATCTTTTTGGTGGAGGGAGAAGAACATTTGTCCAAAGAAGTTTCTGGCATGTCTCCCCTCCCAAAATTCATCCATCTCCCCAGCGCCGCTTGTTTTCGTCACTCACGGGCACCTTCGCATCCCGTCGCTCCCGGCCCGGCTGGACCGGCTGGACTGGCTTCGGGCGCGTCCGCGCGTCCGCCCGCCAGGTCGGAGGCCTTGCGGCGAATGCTCCGCAGGGAGAAGTGCTGCAACTCCTCGAAGGTGCCGACCTGGGGGCACGCCCGGATTGGAGGAATGGTCATGGACCGTTCTCCCCAGGCAAAAGAATGAAGGTGGCGAGGAAAGTTCACAAGGTGGGTGACAAGTTGACGAGGCGGGTGCAAAAGCAAGACATGCCCCCCCGCCCGCCGGCATGGTTCACCTCTGATCGTCCATGCAAAGGCTGTCTTAAGCTTCACAATGACACCCCCCCCGGAGTTCGGGTCCTGGGGGGGTCCTGGGAGCTTGGTTCCAGCTCTTCCGGCGACGGATCGATCCGAACCAGGCACCAAACGTTCACGGCAATGAGGACGTAGACCCACGAGGGTGGGAGTCCCAGTGGTTCCAGTTCGACTCCAACCACTTCGACCGGTTCCGAATCCCAAACTAGTTCTTGAATGTTCCTGAAAATACCAGCACCCTCCAACAGGTCACCAAACCTGAGACAGGGCCTTTCCCAACCCTCCATGCAACGGAGACCTGTAGAGTCGGGTGCTGGTAGAGTGTTTTGCCACTGGGAGGGTGTTCGCCTTCTCGCCCTCTCGCCCGGAGCGGAAGGTCCCACCGGTCCGGAGCAGTCGGGTTTGGCCGCCTTCACGCGGGTTTCATGGGTTTGAGCCGGAGAACACGTGTTTTTTGTTCAATGAAAAAGAAACCAACCTGGACCTTCTTCCAACACTCCTTCCTTCCAACACTGAACTTCACTGGAGCTTCTTTCGGGGTGTCCTGTCTGGAGGTCCCTTAGTGGGCTGGGGCTTCCAGCCAGGTGACCCCGGAATGAAGGTGCTGGAAGTCATCAAGAACAAAAATGCCGTCTCAAGTCTCAAGGGTTGCCGTCTCATCATCATTTGGACGATCTTGGATGCCTCTCAGAGTGCCGTGCTTCCTTGAAAAAAAGAAGCACGGCCATGACTTTGGGCGCCGGAATTGAGATCCAGGATTCCACCGCATGCTGCACACAGGGTTCCGATGTCCGATGCTTTCAGGGAGCTTCTGGGGATCCCAAAGTCAGAGGTGGGAAAGCAAACCGGGAGCAACCGTCAAGAAGGAAGAGGTCGACAACTGTCCAAATTTCCGATGCTTTCCGGGCAGAGGCACCACCAAAGCGGCTCCATCGCAGAACTCGGCGCCGAAGTTCTCTTCCACGTCCTCTTCGCTCAGATCGATCAACACGCGACGCTCGATGGCCACGATGATGTCCCCACAGCGGAGGCTCTGCTCGGGCGCCAAGCAATCCACCACCAGGTAGCCTCGCCGAATCGGGCACGTTGGGCGAGGCGAGTTGGGCCCGCATCAAGGCAGCACGTTTACGCTATAAGAGGTATATGTACCACCCCGAACTCTTTTATCACGGAGTTTGGGGTGGTTTATGGGACCATTCTGATGAGGTCGTGTTCTTCCAATCACCACCAACTCCGTGGCGCTGGTCACCTGATATTCAGAGGCAACGTCACGGCGATGCTGGTGTAAGAGGGTGAAGACCAAAGAGATCCACCAGCACCGTGCAAAGGATTATGTTACCCCCCTGAAGATGTATGTTCCATCTAATAACCGCCCTGTGGGCGGTGCTGGCAGAATGTCTCTCGGTTCGCAGAAACTATACGAGGTGTGGATCGATGAATGCAACCCGAAGAACCTCCGTTCCCGCAACCCCAATCACCTTTCCAATCACCTTTCCACCTCAGCAGCACCAGCCTGGCTGCCATCACACACAGTCCACGTCGGCCCATCCCGAACCGCCACACGCCACACGCCTGCGCCGCAGGCCTCCAGTTCCTCGGGTTGGAACCCCAAGGCGTTCGGAAGCTGCGGAACGGGACCGGCCCAACTCGGCGTCCAAAGCGAAACCCGTGCGCTGTGATGGTCTGGTTTTCCAGCCAGAAACTCCAGATCCGAACCCACCTGGTCCATGGCAGTGGACGTGATAGAAACACAGGACTTCGGAGCCGGAGCCGGAGCCCCGAAAAAGATCAAAAAGCTGGTGTTTCTCTCCAAGAAAAAGACTTTGGCTTGGAAGGGTGCCTCACCATTAACCACCTTGGCTTGGAATTCGAGTTGGTCACCTGATCCATGACTGTTCTGAGCATCGGCCATGCTGGCCGACTGATCTCGGGGTGGTTTGAGCATACAAAACCGAGTACCTACATTGGAGTGATCTTCGCGGGTCAATGGTCCAATGGTACATATTACATATTCATAATGCAAGTTTCTTCGCATCCTAAGTAGATAGCTCATTCACCATCACC